GATGGCCCTTGTGGTCTATTCCAACTCTTATAATTCTATGATACTATGATATTTAAAAATGTATACAAATTCAAAAAACAAAACAAAAACACAACAAAACCCCAAAACAACAAACCTTGATTTTACCAGTTACTGGTTCCTGAAACCCCATGGATGCCAAAATCTGTGGATGCTCAAGTCCCATTCTATAAATTGGCATAATGAACCAGTAAGAGAGACAGGGTGATCAGATATTATAACCTCAAAGGAGGACAAGGCACTGCAAAATATAGGACATTCAAGAAGAATGGAGGACATTACCAAATAAAAGCAAAAGCCACTAATGTAAATATAAATTTATGCTTCTTGGTCATGCTCGAAGCGGAGGACCTTTTGGAATTCCTTCTGGAAAGAAGGCTGAAATGTAGGACAGTGTGCACTGCATGTTGTAGCTGTGCATTGTGCACTATACATTGCAGATTAAAGGTGTGCAACCACCAGAGAGAGACCTGGTGCCACAAGATACTACAAATCCCATTACTGCATAGCATGGAGCCATGGCAGTTAAAATGGTGTCAAAGTGCTTTAATTCTGCAGGGCAGATGCAGCCTTGGAGAGCATTCACAATATGCTTTGTCAGCGAAGGGTGAGATTGTCATGGACCTTCGGAGGAAGGGTTTGCTCTGGATGGAAGAACTGAGCCTCTTCCTCCAGGGCAGGGTCTCCATCATCCCTTTCCACAGCCTCCCTTCAAGGACAGCCGCCTTGTGCTTGCATGCCCCAGAGCTCCAACCGTAATTCATGCTTTTGGGCATCATAGCACACACCGCGATTTATTCATATGCCTTCCTCTTCAGCCTCTCTGCCCAGAAGGCTTGGACAAGAAGAGTGCATTCACTGCAGGCTAAACAACATCCACTGCAAAACTTGAAGCTGATTTGCAGCAGTTTTGGAAATCTAGACGAAAATTACCTTTTTGGACTACAGATCCAAAAACTCCCGACAGCCATGCTGATTGGGGGATACTGGGAGTTGTGGAGCACTGAGTTTCCCCCCAGCTCTGGCCAGGATGGTCCATGC